GTTGCAACCATCCAAGAGTTGACAACTAATGTATCTTGGCGTCATGTACCAACGAAAGACAACCCAGCAGATATTGTATCTCGGGGATGTTCAGTTGAGGAGCTTAAAACATCATTGTGGTTTTGCGGACCAGGATTTTTAAAGCTCTCTGACACATGGTGGCCAGCCAACCCACAAATCACCCTATCAAAGGAGTTAGAGCTGCTAGAGAAGCGTAGAACTGCAATTACTATGATCGCGGTCGATGAGGTAGCAAATCCTATCGTACATCTTATTGAGTCAACGTCATCATTTTCTAAGCTAATCCGCATCGTTGCCTATATGTTCCGCTTTATCAATGGAAAACAAGAAAGTCATTCTTCACTTGTTCCTACAGCTTCTGAGTTAAGCTTCGCATTCCTTGCAGTTATATCTGTAATTCAACACATTGAATTCAGCGAAGAAATAAAGAAAATAAAGAAGTCAGTCGTGTTGCAACCGTCATTGCAAAAACTGACACCATTTTTGCACCCACATCAGCATGGCAGGCGTATGTTATGGTTGCTACGAGTAGGGAGGTCGTTTATTGAAGGCACCATTAGCACATAATGCCAAATTCCCATTGTTGCTTCCAAAAAAATGTCGTTTCGTAACGCTTTATTTGGAGCATTTGCATCACTCTCATTGCCACGCCAATCCCCTAGTACTAATGGGCCTGCTTCGTCAGCAGGTTTGGCTGGTCAATGCTCGACAGGCTTGCAGTGCAGTAGTCCGAAAATGTGTACATTGTTTTCGCTACAAGCCGAAACTCTTATCCCAAATAATGGGCAATCTTCCCGCTGATCGCTTACATGGAAATAGGCCATTTGAGATCAGTGGAGTGGACTTTTGCGGTCCAATACTAGTTTCGCTGGGAATTCGGGGCAAATCGCCAGTCAAAATGTATATTGCCATATTTGTTTGCTTTACTTCGAAGGCAGTGCATCTTGAATTAGTCACCGATTTAACCACAAATTCATTTCTAATGTGTTTATCCAGGTTCGTTGGTCGACGTGGGCTTGTCCGGAAGCTGTACTGCGACAATGCCACCAATTTCGTGGGTGCTGCACGCACGCTGGACCTCAAAGCTACGTTCCATGGCAACACAGCGGACATGGAAATGTTTGCTGCGGAGCGGGGCATGGAGTTTGTATTCATCCCTCCTCGAGCGCCGCATTTTGGCGGCCTTTGGGAAGCGGCGGTGAAATCCGCCAAAGGTTTGCTGCTGAAAGCGATGGGCAGCGCTCGATTACGGCAAGACGAGGTGGCCACCGTGCTGGTCGAGGTCGAGGCCGTGCTCAATTCGCGGCCAATGGTCGCTCCCAGCAGCAACCCCAACGACGGCGAAGTGCTCACGCCAGGGCACTTCCTGATAGGAGCAACGCTCGTGCCGCTGCCAATCGCGTCCACAGAGCCAGTCGACGACGTCAAGCTGACACTATTAAAAAGATGGCAGCTGACATCCAACATCAAGCGTCGATTTTGGAACGACTGGTCAAGGGACTACCTGCTCAGCCTGCAGCAGAAGTCAAAATGGACGAAGGAGAGACAGAACATACAGGTCGGAGCAGTCGTGCTCGTGGGAGAGGACAACGCTCCTCCACAACAGTGGATGCTAGGCGTGGTGACGGAAGCCATAGTCGGAGGAGATGGTAGAGTGCGCGTAATTGTCGTTAAGACAAAAAATGGCACATATAAAAGGGCAATTCATCGCGTTGCACCACTGCCACTCCACTAATACACCATGTTATTGAAGCCCTGCGGCCTTTCAACGCGGCCGATGTTAAGGCATTTGGATTGCCTTCTGAAATATTATTATATATTATTATAAGAAATTGAATTATTATGAATTATTAATTGAATTATTATCGAAATTGTATAGGTTAAGTACTTGAAGCTGAACCACTGTACAGAGAAGTTGTTATTGTACGCGCTAGCACGGGAGTGTCGCTCTCCAAAAGATCGCTCTCTCGCTGCTCGCTGTTAGATGCGCATAGGTGCGCTCTCTACTGTGCAAGCTGCGCTTGCGTTCATGTTAAATTTAATAAATTCAGTACAAAATTGAACACCGGTGCCAGCACTTCGTATATTTCAGAGAGACCGCAAGTTGCTGTCTACTTTTTTTTATAAATATTATACACTGGCCATCGAAGGACCAGACTCCTTTTGGAAGGACAAATTCTATCACCTTGAAAAAATTTGTTCTCGATAATTGTTAATAATCTGAATTTCTGTGTAAATCCAATTATCGAGACTCGATTTAATACATATGTATAAATAACAAAATAAAACTAAGAAATTAGTAATGTTTAATTAACTCATCCAAATTTTCAATAACTATAATTCTTCTTATATTTATTCATATAAATACATCTAACATTATTAATAAACATCTTTTCATTATTGAATATTGTATTTTATATTGAAGTTATATATATAATTCTTATTTATTTATTTATTTATTTATTTATTTTTTTTTTTATTTATTTATTTATTTATTTATTTCAATATAATAATTTCATCTATCATATGTATGAGTGCAACAAGGAACACTCACACCAAAGCTTAAATATATTTCTGATTAAAAAAAAATCCAAAACTATTATTCCAACATCATAGGCAAAACAATATATTATTAGTAGATAGAATCACTATGAATTGAATTGAAAACAATCTCAACTCAAATTCAATCTGTTATTCGAATCACGCACTCGATTGCTTGAGCACGTCAGATATCGCATTATAGGAGACTTGAGTCTAAATTAAAACAATTTACGCAATTGGATGGCACGCGAATATGTATATATATATACACAGATACATATAGCCGATCTATAAATGGTATAGTTGCCCAAGCGCCGAGAATAATGGATAGTTAGACAACGTCATGTGACTGGCCTGTCCAGCTGGTTAGTCGATATCAAAGCAACTAACTAACGACATCAAATAAATGTCATTATTATTTATAAATATATGTAGACTGCCTAAACTAATCGTTATTTACGACGATTGCCCTCGATACGACAGATTGTGGTTGGCTATGTTTTGTTCCTTTTTTTTGTTTTGTTTATTTTTATCGATTCTAGTGCAAAAGTGAAAGTTCCATGATAATATAATTCCACAAACTACCCCAATTGCTTTTGGTTTATGAAAGCCACAGACAGATTATAATATATTAGACAATGGGCATTAGATTGGATAATGAGACAGCTAGTTGGGCTGGCTGTATAATTCACATTATATTATATTTTGATGAGACAAATTACAAAATTACTAAATACATACAAGCGACACTAATGTGGCGATAAACTGGAAATTAATTAAGCCTGGGAATATCTCTAAAAATCTGTGAAAAATATGATTTTTTTTATAAAAAACAAATAAAATAAAGTAAAAATTCTGTTAGCTTTCCTTAAAGCAATAAAGTTAAATGGCAGGCAAAAAGAAATAATTTAGCTTTGTTATTGAGGAGAACTAGGAAGCGTCTAGAGTGGAAACCGCGAACCAGTTCTACTAGTCTAAAAAGTGACTCTACGAAAAACTGAATCTGTACGCAGATTGTGCCTAACACAGACACAATCTAAAGACTGTTTAACCTTGCGGACAAGATATATTCATTAGCATACAGTCAGTCTATGCCTAGACATATACAGAGATATATAAGCAGAGTCTGAGCAAAAACGTATGCTGATTTGTTTATAGTTTGATAGGCGGCAGACATTTTCCGCATTGGAAAGTCTATGTAAAGAGAGGAAAGAATGTGACTGTAAGTAATTAATGTTAATTGCAAAAATCACGGAATCAGGAATCAACGTTGCAACTTTGCATACGACGCATTGTGCGTAGAATTTCACGTTTGATTTATTGATGGGGATGAAAGGAAAATGTTGACAAATGGAAACAAAGCTGCGCTGTTTAATTGGATATCACCTACGCAGCGTAATCCGAAGGCAGGCCGAGGTAGGCCGGGGGAGGCATGATTAAATACCTGTGCATAGCACAAAAATCAATATTGTTTAACGCAAATCAAAAGCAGCAATGCGAATGGCAAAACGAAATGTTGCCATGGCTAGCATGAACAGAGAGAGAGAGAGAGAGAGAGAGAGAGAGAGAGATAAAGAGAGAGAGCTATGAATGGGAATTGTAGAAGAGACTTTGGGAGAGGCGGCTGTTGTTCACTAATTACCAAGTGCTAAACATTTTGACGCACATTTCGCTGGCTCTGCCACGCGTTACGTCTATATGAATGTCTATCTATATTAGCGGGTTTTTGCTCGTGGCACGTTTTTGCAGCACATGACCACAAATCACGCGGGAAACGTGAGTGTGAGTGTGTGCTGATGTGTGTGTGTGTGTGTTGATGTGTGTGGGTGCTTGCAATCGCAACAATCCGTGGCGGATGCTAACAAATCTAAGCGATTAATCAGTCAAGTGTTAATTGATCTACGTAAATACAACATAAATACTCAAACAATTTGCACGCCGAGCATTTTAAACGCCTGCATATCTATTTCTGGCCAGCCCCGATGGGTCCTAATTAGGAGCTGGTTTAAAGAAATATTTGCCAGCAAATTAGAAGTTCATTTGAAGCAAGCTGCAAATTGCGAATTGTCTCTTGGCTGAGCAAACAAATGGAACACAAATATATATAATGGCTTAATTACAGCTGACGAAATTTAAGGGCTAACGAGGCCCTATAGAAAATATATAATATATATATTTACATATGTTTATATATATTCATATGTACGCAACTGGCTATTCAATTACTGGCCAAGCCCAAGTCAAGGTCAATTGGGCTCAACGCTGCGTATACGTAATGTGCCCTACGTGTGGGCCATAATTACGTATTTATCGCACTCGTTTAACAATTTGACTGTAATTTCTGTATTCGTACTTTATGCTCTCGATAATGCAATTTAAATAATTTATTTGCTTAAATTGATTTTCCATAATTGAACTCGTATTGTTTCCATTTGCAGCTTAACGCAGCGTGGAGGAAAATAAAAGAGGAAAATAAAACTGTGGTAAGTACGAGAGAGCGGACCGACTCCCATTGTTGTGTCGTTGTGTGGAAAGTGGGAAGCGGGAAAGTGGAAAACTTTGTTACATACTAGCCCTGTTGATATATCACATTAATTATGTCAAAAACTTGTGACGGGCAGCCAATTTAAAGCTCGACAGACAACTGCGAAAAATTGAGGTCATGATGATAAATGATGGCGCCTAATTAAATTATTTCTAGCCGCGGCCATTAGAAAGCTGGCATATTAGAAATGGCTAAAATGATAGGCGACAAATTTAAAATTTAAAATGCTAAAGCAAAACTAAATATTCAAACAGTCGACGGCTGCGCTATCTATGCAGAAAGATAAGCGCGAAGCCAAAAATGTTGAGCTGAATAAATTAATACGAATTGCTTGGTTATCAGCAAAGACCTATAAGAACTTAAATAAGATAAATGAGAAAGATAAGAGCAGTATCTATAAATATGCATTCCTATAATTTATCTACAGCCCAAGATATAGAAATGGCAAATATAATATTTTAAATGTTATTTCAAAGACTTTAGTTTAAGATACTGCAGTTGAATAAAACTAAATAAGATATGTAGAGTCTTCAGGTCTGGTTTCCATTTACAGTAATAGATGATGATAGGGCCGACAATTTGATAGGCCCATAGTGAGACTTGGCATGTGCCAGCAAGCAATAAAAATTGAAGTTTTAGCTTCCGCGCACAGGTTCAGGTGTTATTTACAGTTTGTTCTTTGACGGCGAGGGACGAACGGGCCGTTGGCAGCTCGCACGGCGCGTGGCACTCCACGTGTATAGTCTCTTGTGACATATGGGCGGCACGTCCGATTGGGTGGGGCTCGAATAGGCAAGAGCGGCAGTGGGTGATAATCACAACAAATAAATAATGAATGATAGGTAAATAAGTCCGGGCACAGGCGCATATTATTAGTAATGACATTTTGTTGGTCAATAAAAGTCAAATTTGAGCTAATTCTCGAAAGTATTTAATTTGTTGCCTCGTTGCCATAAAAGTTGAGGTTAAACTAACCTAAACAAAGCTTAAAACCTTGTGGTTGCCCTCTCTCCGCGTTAGTCGCAATTATGGCAAGACTACAAATATAATTACATCTCGGCTGTGCTCTAACCAGGCTGGCATTACACAATTTCACAGCAGCAACAACAGCCACAATTTCATTACACAACAAAAAAAATCAACAATACAAATCATCAAAATGCAACAGCAGAGAGAGAGAGAGAGAGAGAGAGATAGAGAAAGAGGGAGAGAGGTATCAGTGTTGCCAGCATCATTGTTCGGCCCACATCAGCAGCAACTATTACAATTTGCAAGATACAGATACAATTGTATCTGTGTCTAACCAAAGCTGAATCTGAGGCTGTGGCTGTAGCTGTAACTGTAACTGCTGCTGCTGATGTTGCTGTTGCTGTTGCTGTTGCTGTTGCTGTTGCTGTTGCCGGGGTCTCTGTGGATCGGTAACCTTAACCCAAACTGCATAAGCCAAACCGAAACTGAAACTGAAACTGAAACTGTAACCAAAATATATTCAGACTTCGTACGAGACAGAGCCTTAGTTTCGGCTCATAATCATATTGAGGTCAGTTGTCTATTAACTGCTGGAAAATGCCAAACCAATAGCAGTTTGACTCTACAGGAAAGTCAAGTTGAGATACTTCAAAAGCTACAGAGTATCTGCCCGTTCTAGGAAATGACTGACATTGTTGTTGTCTCTCAAAAATCAATAGCTGACACAGCAGACCGCCAAAAGGGCGGAAGCCTTATGGCATGTGCCATGTTCCATGTGCCTTACAGCCCGCTCTTCCACTCTTCCACTCTGCCACTCTGCCAGTCAGCCAGTCTGCCCAAGCCACTCGCAGTCCTAGTGCTAGCCACGGTTCGTTAAGCACAGTGGCACAAAACCAAATTGACAAAGTCAAATTGCTCTCAAGGTAATTTTCGGCACCAACTGGCAGACAAAGTTCTTTCAGAATGATCGAAAGTAACCGAAGAAGAAAATGAATAAGACCTAAATTAAATACATTTGCCAATTTGCTATGGACTTCAAAGTAGATAACCTGTAGTAGAGGTGGAGAACTATCGATGGCACTATCGACCATTATCGATGGCTTACAATTTACTACAGTCTACTATCGCTGGGGCAATATACATATATATGGAATGTATGTCAACATCTTTAAGCATAGTGAAAGCAAATAAAATAAGAAAATTTAGCTGTCATTCAATGTTCATTTATATAATTTCATCAATCAACTATAAGCTTAGACTTCGTATTATAATAACCCAATAATTCTGTAATAGGTGATTAATAGAGATTACTTTACTGAACGAGATCAACTTTTAAAAGTAAGCTCTACAGATATGTACAGATGTACACTTAACAAAAAGACTGACAATCGATTCACTAAAATCAATATATGCCTTACATATATGGCATAGATCTTCCTTCTTCAGAGATATAATCGATGTTTACTTAACAGAAAAACCAGACGGTATAGACATTTATTTCTATTGTCTTCACTTTTTAATTTGATATAAGTGTTTCATATTATTTATGAATATTTATCTTTAGCTCACACACCTTCTATAATGGTATATGTATGCTCCCTTGAAACTTGTCTTCGAACTGACACCCGACGTAAAAGTTTCTCGCGCATCAAGGAGAGCATATGACAAGCAGTCTCCTCCCGTGTCCTTCTGTCTCCTTGCATTGCCACTATTGTTCACCTGACGCACTTTTTCCAAGTTTTTCACCTACAGCTGCAATCTTGTGAAAGCCTTTCAAAACAGCTGCATTCAGGTGTCAGAATTTGCACAGGTAATGCAACTGTCAGCCCTGCTTATATGCTCATACTCCAGCAGTCTGTCTGGCTGCCCCTCTGACAGGCTGACTGTCTGTCTCTCTGTTTGTCTGACTGTCTGACTTGGTCTGTCTTCTGCTTGGTCTTGGCTATATGTGGACGTATTGCCCGAAGCGCTGTCATGCTTTGGGTTCAAGTATAGATGACATTTGACGTCAGTGAAAGCATTTCCATGCATTTTTTGAGTGTTTGCAGCTGGCGTCTATTTTAGCCAGAAGCCAAACTAAACGGAATAAGCGGACAGCGGGAACGGGACTTAGCCTGTCCCCCTCTCGCCCAATCGCCAACTCGCCCACTTGCCCCTTCCCGGTGTCAACAATTACAGCAGGCAAATAGCGGAAATCACGTTTTTTACAATGCCGATGTGCGAGTGGCCAATAAAGGTGACTGCGGCAGAGCCACGCCTATGGGAAGGGGCAAAAGGGAAATGGCTCTGGGAAGGGGGCGGCTTTGGGTTGAAACTGCTGCTGGGACTGGGGATACGCAATGTAATGAAGCATGGAGCGTGGAGCCTTGCGCTTCCGACTGCCAACGCGTTGTGCACGGCTGTGGGTGGACAACACACACACACACACACAAGCATATATAGAAGGTGTGCGAGATTTATGACGTTGTTGGCGCTGGCTAACACATGTTCCACCATTTACGCTAACCCCACACCAACCCGTTCTCTACTTATGTCTTTTACGGTCGGTACAAAAATACTATAAAGAAAACACACAAAATACTGAGGTGTGACGATAGGATACCCTGGAATCTATAAAAAAAAATAATAATAATAATAAGGTAGATATCATCGGTATATTATTTTAAATTTTTATACAAAAACAAATTCTTAACTTAAAAAAAAATGTATATAGAAAGTAGACTTCTGTTTTATATCATTTTTACTCCAAATCTCCTATGAAATGCACAACTACGATATGAACAACAAAAATAATCTCTTTCATATTCCTCTCAAGCATTAAACAACTCTTAAAAATCATACATTTACAGGGTATTCAAAGCGCAGCAGACGCAAGCATAAGTCAGAAGTGTCTGCTGCTGTTATTCTTGTTCTTGCCATTGTTCGTGCTGTTGTTGTTGTAGTTATAAACGTGACTATTGTGAACGTGATTTTCGTTTAGCCGGCTGACATGTGGCCCGAGTGTTAATATTTTTATGGACTCGAGTGCTCAGCTCTGTTAACCATATCAAATATATTTTAATCAATACGCGTTTTATTTTTTATTTTTTGTGTTCTCATCGCAATTCAATGAAAAGTCAAGCGCTAACTCTGTTCCCATTTTATGGGTCTGCGACGGTTTTATTAGTTTAGAGCTTAAGAGACCGACCGCAGACCAGAGGCAACAAAACAAAAGAGACAACAGCCAACGGTAGCAGTAGCAGTCCGGTTCGGGCTCATAAACTCAAGGCTAGAAGCAGAAACGTCAGCCAAACACGTACAATAAATATTTATGTACCGCATTATGGCGACAATTTCCACAAGTTTTCGTCGCTGCAGTCGCTATCCGAAAACTTCAAGTGCATTCGACGGGCTGGCAGGAGGCGGTGGCGGAGGCGGAGACAAAGGCGTGGCCCAGAGGCCACAGACCGACATTTATTAGTCAGCCGACAATAGAGCTCTTTTTATGTGGCAGACGTCTAACAATCAGCTAAAATGTTTTTATACACATATATGTATATGTACGTATAGGGAGCTCAGACATGTCCCCCATACTGCCGGAGTTCCACTCCGCATAATTCGATTGACTCTAGAAATTTTTACTACTTTGTATTAAATGAAAAATGTTTATGGAGGTTGGGTTATATGATATATGCTACCCGTAACAACTTTGTTTTCTTTGACAGCCACGTTTCTTTCTTTTCTTCTAATCTTAAATCCATACTTTGTACAACAGTGTATTACATACAAACCGGAACATTCTTCCTTCTTTAAGTTGAATCTATTTAGAAAAGTTTAGATATGTTTTAAATTCCTTTACATTTCTTGCTTTTAAGCCTACTGCTTAGTCAGCTCTGTAGCATCTCACAGTGTCCTTGAAAGCTCTGCCTACCACTCGTCGCTCAGTCAAATTGAATGTCCTTGTCATTGTCAATAAGTCAGCTGCCTGGC